CAGATCCTGGAAAATCCTTCCGTCGAATCACGAAAGTGATTTAAAATATGAGTTCTTCTCGTTGAGATATTCGAGTAGACACCTTACTCGCTCAAATTCGACACCCGAAGCTAATACTTTAAGATTGTTGGAGGTTAAGAGTTTGAGAGAGAAGGGTTCAGAGGTGCTTAAAGTATTACACCTTGAGACATCAAAGTTTGGAATGCTCAACAGTGTTACCTCCAGCTTAGGAAACCCTAGATATAATGCAAGCTATTGGGCTCCAGCCCATATGGACCCAAATAACCATGCTTTCACTTATTAGGCTTATATGTGAACATACTACTAGATTATATTTTTTTTTTTTTTTTTTGTAAATCTAGATTATATTATTAATATACCCAACATATTATATCTATCTTTTTTTTATGTTTACTCCACTTATTTATATTTAACATTGTTAAATTAAAATTTCAACTAACTTTTAATTTTTCTTTCTTCTCTTGAGATTTTGATTTAATAATATTAAAGATGAGTAGGTAGAATAAACATAAAAAGTATACATAATTAATATCATTTCCCAAGAAAGAAATGAGAAGAGATAAATAAAAGTTTCTTTTATCATATTAAAAACCCTCACACAAAAAATTATTGATTTTAAAGAGTGAATAGCTAAGAAATTTCATAATATTTTATCGTTTTTTAATAGAATTTGAGTGATAGAAATTGAATTCATGATCACTTCTAATATCATACAAAAAATCATTAACTCAAACACTTAAATGGTTAGATAATTAAAAACCATAATAATAATTTTATATTTATTTATCAAGTATGACTAAGCGCGCTCTTTCCCTATTTATTTTAATCAATATCCCACGTGATCGTTACTTGTGGAAGTTGAATTTTAGTGCCTTAAATATGTGGTCATTGGATTTGGCGCCCTTCACCTCAAAGTTACTTTATGTTTTTGTTTTTAAATAAAAAGTATTCATATATTTTCATTTAATTATTTATAATTTTGAAATATGTAATTTATAGTATAATATTAAAATCTTTATGATTGTATAATTAAAATTGAGTTCTCGTTCGTTCCTATCTTCCATCTAGGTCAGAATGCTTCTACATAAACAGACGTGTTTAATATAAAGTTATTCGTCTACTTTTATCTAATAATATATTTAACAATTTAATCTTGTAAGGTAATTCATTGAAGACAAATATCATACCAACTCACTGGGACGTTTAGATAACTGTCAAGAAAATGGAGTGAGTGGGAATGACAATTTTGTCTTGAGATTTTATTCTTATCCAGTTGAGTTGCGTACTTTTGCTTAGTCAGGGAAAGTATGACACAAGAATAAACTAAGCAAGATGAATATGCGCGTGGCCATGAACAAAGATTTCCCAATACCTCTTACGTCACTAAATCTCAAAGCATACACCATGCAGTCACTTTCTTTCATTGTAGGAATTCGGAAATCACATTACAGCAACAGTACCAGTGTAGCACGTGGTTTTTTTGAACAAAGTCGGAAAGTTAGGACTTTGTATTGGATGAAGTCACGTAATCATTCACCAGTTATATATGATTTGATTAAACATGATTTAACATTAATTAATTCGTTGAATTTATTGAATTATTTCTCAATAATTCCATTCCCCGTCGCTAATCTGCTATTAATCGGTCCACTACGTTCTATGCAGTTCACGTTTGCCAACATTTATTAAACAATATATGAGTCCTTTTTTTAACTCAATCCGATCATCCATTCGATTTTTTTATTTTTATTTTTAGTAATATTACCCATTCGATTTAGGTATTAGATACATATATAGAGAGAGAAGGAGGGGGGCGGGGTGGAGGATACTGAAAGTATAAATATCATTACATAAAAAATAAAAATTATATAGTTTATGAAAAAAAGTGTGTATCATTTTGAAGGATGTAAAGTTATGTTATTTTAGGTGAGAGAAAGAGATAGATAAAGGAGGAGAGAGTGGACAGAAAAATATAAATTTGTGGGTCTCACATCTTTGTAAAAGTGAAATGACGTAAGTTGTGTCATTTAAAAGTCCAAACATTTTTTCTATAGTTTATATATGGGTCGATTATTCTTATTTCGGAAATCTTACACTCAAGTGATCATTGATAGCTTCTATTTAATTATATATAAATAAAAACAACGATCAAAATTGAGAGTGTAACATACAATGATGTAAAATGATCGGACTTATATATATATAGGAAAAATATTTCTCCGATAACTTGAGATAAGTTTATCTTCGGTCACCCCAAAACTACGTCGTTTTGTTTATTTATTTCCTTATATTAATTGATTCACCTTTGAATAGTTATGATTCTATTTTTCTCTCTCTTCCTTTATCACCATTGATCCATCTTTGTACGATTATGATTTAGTAGCCAGAGATAAAATTATCGCAAGCAGTTTGAGAAACGATAAGCTCATATATATATATATATATATATATGAGTTTACATTTCTGCAGCTGCTATACGTGCAGCAATCAAATACTTGCCATATATATACTTGAAAGCATTAAATGTAATGTCTCACATCGGTTGGAGAGGGGAACGAAGCATGCCTTAAATAAGGGTATGGATACCTTTCCTTGTAGGAGGCCTTTTGGGGTAACCCGAAACGTAAAACCGTGAGCTCGACGGTGCTTGTGCCTTGTGCGCGGGGCAAAGCGGACAATATCCTGCAACAGGGTTTGGGGCTGTTACATTTGGTATCAGAGTCTGGCCCTGGACCGGTGTGTACAGCGAGGACGTTGAATTCCCAGTGGGGGAGGATGAAATGTCCCACATCGGTTGGAGAGGGGAACGAAGCATGCCTTAAATAAGGGTGTGGATACCTTTCCTTGTAGGAGGCCTTTTGGGGGTAACCCGAAACGTAAAACCGTGAGCTCGATGGTGCTTGTGCGCGGGGCAAAGCGGACAATATCCTGCTACAAGGTTTGGGGCTGTTACATTAAATGTGAGGAATAATAACCATACAAAGGCTGAAAGCATTAAATGTGAAAAATCATAACCATACACCTGTCGTTGGTGTACGTAAAGCGGCTATATATATATATATATATATATATATATATATATATATATATATATATGAACTTATCATTTCTCAAGCTGCTTGAGATAATTTTATCTCCAGCTACTAAATCATAACCATACAAAGATGGATCAATGGTGATAAAGGAAGAGAGAGAAAAAAAGAATCATAATCATTCAAAGGTGAATCAATTAATATAATATATATATATATGAACTTATCATTTCTCAAGCTGCTTGAGATAATTTTATCTCCAGCTACTAAATCATAACCATACAAAGATGGATCAATGGTGATAAAGGAAGAGAGAGAAAAAAAGAATCATAATCATTCAAAGGTGAATCAATTAATATAATATATATATATATATGAACTTATCATTTCTCAAGCTGCTTGAGATAATTTTATCTCCAGCTACTAAATCATAACCATACAAAGATGGATCAATGGTGATAAAGGAAGAGAGAGAAAAAAAGAATCATAATCATTCAAAGGTGAATCAATTAATATAAGAAAATAAATAAATAAAACGACATAATTTTGGGTGGCCGGAGATAAACTTATCTCAAGCTGCTTGAGAAATGTTTTTTCCTATATATATATATATATATATATATATATATATATATATATATATATAAGGTAGAATCCTTTTGACACCTCATCTAATAGCCGTTAGATTTAAAAAGATCAATAGTGTCACATGTTAGCAAATCAAAATCGTTGATCTTTTTTGATCTAATGGCACTCAGATAAGGTGTCAAATTTAAAATTTGAAACTGGTGTCAAAATATCCTACCTCATATATATATATATATATATATATATATATATATATATATATATATATATATATATAGGGGAAGGATCTTTTGACTCTAGAGTAAGACTTACAACTCTTACTCCTCATCTTAACCGTTGATTTTCTTCCATCTAACGGTTATTTATAACAATTATTTATTTATTTATTTCAAATAAATAATAACCGTTAGATGGACGGAAATCAACGGTTGAGATGAGGAGTAAGAGTTGTAAGTCTTACTCTAGAGTCAAAAGATCCATCCCCATATATATATATATATATATATATATATATATATATATATATATATATATATTAGGATCATTTTACACTAGTGTAAGTTACACTCTTAATCTTGTCCACTGATCCCATTTATATCTAAGGGCTCAAATTTTTTAGTAATGTGAGCCATTGGATACAAGTGGATCAATGGTCAAGATTGAGTATAAGACTTCTAACTCTTACACCAGTGTAAGAATATCTTGCCCCATATATATATATATATATATATATATATATATATATATAGGAAAACATGTCTGCAGACACTTTAGATAAGGTTGTCTACAGCTACCCTTTTTTCACTAAGTACGACCGGTCGTACATTAAAATTGCACTTTCTCTCTCCGCCACGTCAGCCGACAATGTCTGAGGAAAGAGAAAAAAAAACAGTTTTATTGTTATAACTAAGTACGATCGGTCGTACTTAGTGAAAAAGGTATAGTTGTAGACAACCTTATCTAAAGTAGCTGTAGAAATACTTTTCCCATATATAGGGGTAAACATTCCCACAGCCGCTTTATATAAAGTTATCTAAAGCTATCCCAAAAATTACGTCTTTTTGATTAATGAAGGGTGTTTCTGTAATTTTAGGTGAATTAATTAAAGGTGTTTCCATAATTTTGTTTATCTTTTTATCATATTCATTTTACTGAAACACCCTTCACTAATTCACCTAAAATTACAAAAACACCCTTCATTAATCAAAACAACATCTTTTATATATATATATATATATATATATAAACACTCCCTAGTCCCTACCTTAGCAAAAATATAATATAAAAATTAATTAATAAAAAACACATTTCCCTTAAATATAAATAAATATACATATTATTACAATTGGGATACTCCAGTCTGAAAAAGGGAAATGATACTTCGTGCCCAACAGATGAATAAAAATTCCAAAAACCATTGGTACTAATCAAATATAGGACACAAGTCAGGCTGGTTCCCAGCTCAACAAAGAATCGAGTTTCATCTCAAGATCCTACCGGACATTAGTAACTTACTTCTCTATATTCTGAGACTGCTCTTCCCCAAAAGCCAAATTAAAGATCTGTATGTAGTCATCAACAAAATGAACATCAAGACCTTCTCTCACATTAGGCGCTAGCTCATCAAAATCTCTCCTGTTAGCCGAAGGGAATACAATAGTCTTAACTTCACTCCTCCTCGCGGCTATGGTTTTCTCCTTAACCTGCAATTTTTACAGCATTGCATGACTAACAGCTTCAGACACAATGTGCAAAAAAGAGTTCATAGCACATAATATTAAATGGTGGCTTCTGATACTGAAAGCAGGATGTTACTAGGGAAGACGTGAAAACAGCGGAAGACCAAGCAACAAGAAAGAGAAGGGAAAGAGATTAAGCCAAATCATGAAAAATAACCTTTCCTTGTGTAAAATAAATATAATAACCTTTACAAAAAAAAGTTATGTAATTCGAAAACCAGTAACAGCTAAAAATACCCAGAAGTTTCTGCATCTAAAGATAATGAACAATAATATTGCAATAGATAAAAACTTCTCAACATACCCCGCCAATGGGAAGAATCTTCCCAGTAAGTGTCACTTCTCCAGTCATTGCTAGATCCTTCTTCACAGGCTTCTTCAAGGCAAGGGACAACAGTGAAGTGGTCATCGTGCAACCAGCACTAGGTCCGTCCTTAGGTGTAGCCCCTGCAGGAACATGAAGGTGTAACTTTGAATTTGCAAAAAAAGGATTCCCTGGTTCTTTTTCCAGTAGTATTCCTCTGGCCACTGTGTGAGCTATCTGGGCACTTTCTTTCATCACATCTCCTAATTGACCAGTGACATGCAGCGCTCCTTTTCCCTCCCCTTCCTCAACAATGGTGGTCTCTATATAAAGAGTGGAACCACCCATTGCAGTCCAGGCAAGACCCATAACAACCCCAGTAGGTGTCTGATCATAGATGCGCTCAGCATGGAAGACAGGCTTGCCAACAAAGTCAGTTAAATTTGATTTATCAATCACGACTTTCTCAATCATCTTTGTTTCAATTTCCTTACCTTCATCCCTTTCTTTTGCAACCTGTCACAGTTAAGATCCATATGTATCAAATGATGAATAGGTGGCTGTTGGACCACAAAAAATTCTCAGGAAAAAAAATCATATCAAACTACAAAAATTTTGTACTGGTTGTTGGACCACAGAAAAGATTTCAGGTTCCAGATCAAAGTTTTATATAGAAAACCATCATAATTTTTAGCCGGTTCAAAAATTTGTACCAAACCATAAAGTTGTGCACTGGTGAAACACAAAAATGCATGTGCATGGCACTACCATATTGTAAATATTGAAAAAAGGACTTCATATGTTCTCAACTTCTCATTAACCAACCCTTGTAATGAGTAGGTCTCGGTTTTCTTGCTCATTGAACCAACATCAGAAAAGATCTTTTTTATAAAAGGGAGAATTAAAATAGTGCTTCCAGACCTCCATATCAGTAGATTGATCAGCTAGTAGATCGGTTTGGACCTTGTCAACTTCTGTAGAGGTTTCAACCATTCGTTCAGGATTACTACTCTCCACGGAGTTCTCTTTTTGAATTATATTTTGAACTGATTCATCAAAATCTACTTCGGCTTTTTTGGGTTCAATAGACTGAGCACTAGCAACAGGAGCATCAATTGTTTCCCCTTGCCTCACAAGTTGTAGTGCTATCTGCCATGCCACAAACAAAACATTTTAGTTCAGATATAGTCATGAACAAATGCAGTTAATTTTTTTTTTTTTTTTTTTTAAAAGAGCAGATCAACAGTGGCTGTCTTTCCAACCATACACACCATAGCCCCTTGACCTAAAAAATACTTAAACAAACCTTTCTGTAAATTTTTTCTATGTGCTTTTGGAGGTTCCTGACCCCTGCTTCTCGGCAGTAATTTTCTATTAGGGCAAGAAGAGCAGCATCAGTGACTTCCACCTGAAGCAAGTCAGTTTTCGTGGTCAATATTTTCAGTCAATTAAAAAGAAAAGGGCAATAAAAGCTGGCATCATTATGCCTCGCAATAACTCAACGTTAAGATTTTGAAATTCCCATTCTTTGCAGGATAAGGGACCACAAAATGGGTGGAAAAGATAAATACTTGTTCAGGCTTTATTCCACATGCTTCACGTGTACTCTTCTCCAGATAATCTCTTGCAATGTGCATCTTCTCATCGGTAATATACCCAGCAATGGCAACAACCTCCATCCTATCCAACAGGGGATTGGGTATCATTTCCACTACATTTGCAGTGCACACAAAAAGAACCTGCAGTGGACTTCCAATGCATGAGTCATCATGGTAAAACATTTACAACATGCCTACTTTGCCTTCAAGGTACTAAATAAAAACTATGTTTTAACATGGCAATGGACATTTAACAAATAAAGCATGCACAAATTCTGACTCTACCATAACCTCACCATTAAGGCTCCCGATTATCAAATAAGTACCTTTGATAGATCAATGGGAACATCAAGATAGTGGTCCAGGAAATTAGCATTCTGCTCTGGATCCAGAAGCTCTAACAAAGCACTTGCAGGATCACCAGCATGTCCTCTTCCTAACTGCCAAATGAATAAAAAAAAAAATTAACACTAAAATCATCCTTTTTATAAAAGATTTACAAGATTAAAAACCATAATAAATTTAATAAAAAATGAAATCCACGCATTATATGTTTATTAGGGCCAAGGCAACCCATACTAACGAAGAATACAACAGGAAATCAGGAGGAAAAAAAATTACTCAGCATCAAATAAATTGAACTGTCTAGCAATGTATTACTTTGTCAATCTCATCAATCAAAACAAGAGGATTGGCTGTTCCAACATTCTTAAGGCATTGTACCATCTTCCCTGGCATAGCACCAATATATGTTCGACGATGACCCTGTCAGAAAAAATATTAATGATACAAAAAAAACTAACATGTTGCTGTGAAACTGGTATATAATTCAACCATGGCAAGGAAACAAAGAGACTTTAGCTACCTTGATTTCAGCCACATCAGCTAATCCTCCTACAGAGAATCGGAAGAACTTACGGTTCAAGGCACGTGCAATCGAACGGCCAATACTTGTTTTGCCCACCCCTGGTGGACCAGAAAGACAGATAATCTTCCCTGCATATATGAGAAAGATCAGGAACCTCACACTTTGTGACCATGCAAAAAGCCAATACGTAAGCACCAAAGGCTTCACTTTAAATGAATGGATTTGCATACTACGGCCAACATCTTAAAACCTTGTTAACTAAAATCAGCACAAAATGCATAAAATTAAGTTTTCCTCCATTAAATAAAAAAAAAAAAAAATGGGCAATCATATTTCAAAGCCTGACCCAGTCAATCAAGTCTGAAATCTTGTAAATTAAAATTAAAACTTCAAGCATCAAGATATATGATGATTTAAGATGACTTAATGAAAGCATCTCACTTGTTTGAGAACTGATAGCAATATAGTATTTGGTAGACACTAAACACCAAGATCAACATTTAGCAATGTATTTCGCAGACACTAAAACTAAAACCCAAATAAATCTTCGGGATACATTATATTGATGAACGATGATTACCTTGTGAAGTCCCTCTTAATTTCCCAACAGCTATGAATTCCAATATCCTTTCCTTCACATCAGTTAATCCATAATGGTCTTCATCAAGAATGTTTTGCGCCCGAGTAACATCAAAGTTCTCATCACTAGATTAGGAAATTAACAGATTGAAATTCATTACATTCACAATAGTTTAAAGTTCACATATAAAGGCCAATCAGTAGTATTCACAAAATAAAAACCCTTAGTTCATCCAAAAGCCTCTGAAAACTATCTTATGCATTTTAATTGTCTCCTCCTAAGGCCTTTCCTAAAATCCTTTTCTGCAACTGTCCTAAATTTAAACAATCAAACGTGTCCTAATGAATGGTAATTGGGTCCCCATACAAGGAATCAATAATTTTAAATAAATTTAAATTACACTAGCAGCCATAATAAGAACGAAATTTCATTAACACAAACCTGTATTCACCCCAAGGCAATGCTGTCAACCAGTCCAAGTAGTTACGGGTAACACTGAATTCGCTAGAACTAGCCTCCAACAGCTGCAGCTTTGTGAGTTCTTCATCTATGACTTGTAAAACATGAGGTGGGCACTTTTCTCTTTTTGGTTCAATCCTTTCCCTGAATTTACCTGAAATAGAAAGTAAATTAATGAAATGGTAGCAACATATTTCACTAGAAACTAGAAAGTATACCCCAGCAAACATTTTACTTCATGGACTAACAACTGAAAGCTATATAACTCAAATTTGATCAGGTGACAAACAATACTAATCAGAACACAAAGAAAAGTACAATATAAAGAACATTCCTATACTCACTATATGAAAAAAGATTTGAAGGATGCTGGTATAGAAACATTAAGAGGAGGACAAGATTAAAACACTAGTTAGGTGAACATTTTTTAAGTATTTGGCAGTCAGGAAGACTCCAATCACACGGTTGTAAGTCCTAAAATGACCTTGCCTACATGCATGCACACTAGATCAATCATTTAGGCAGGAAATGATTTATAAAAAGAAATATCCCGTCTAGTACTAAAAGCAGATATTATAGATCAGAACCAACCAGTGAGAGCTGTTTTGTCATCAGTCTCTAGGCCCAATTCCTGCAAATAGGAAAAAATTCAAATCAAAAGAAAATAAATTTTAGGATATAAGGCCAGTTCAAATAGCAGAGCATTCAGCAAATCATATCATACATATAATGGTACTCATGTTAGGATATAGGGAAATGACACCAGCAAGATCAAAGGCCTAGGTCGATACCTAAACTTTCTAGACCACATGATAAACTATAAAGCCTATGGAAAAGATACAACCATTAGTACAGTGTCCTCTGAAGGGACATCATAATTATTCTGAGATCCTAGACTTCTGAAGAATGAAGTCAAATAATGTAACAGATATGCATTTTTTCAGCATTTAGTTACATGATTCCTTGGCTTGCTAATAGAAACAAAGCGGCCACAAAAAACAGACTGCTAAATTCAGAGATTGGTGGCAACAGTCAATCATGTATTGCTTGGTTGTTTAGAATAAGTTCATGAGCTCTGGTTATACACATGGAATTAGGAGAAATCCACTGCAGAGGGATGGTGCGTAGAGCACAGCTTAGCTAACTAATTTAAGCCAAGAGCTTATCTATTGCTACAATTAAACGCAATTAGTAAGCTTCAACAACAAATGGAAAGAAAGAATTCAAACAGTATGGACAAGCAAACATAAAAGATTGTATAATAGTAGCTTGTCTAGGATATGAGGCACACTGATGTAACCAAATTATGAGGGCTTTGTACCTTCTTTATGGCCTTAAGCTGCTCATTTAACAAGTAACGGCGCTGCTCACCGCTTATCTTTTCTTCAATTGCTTTTGCAATTGATTCCTGACAAGAATCAACACAATCTCAAATATACGATGAAAAACTAAATGCAACACAAACAACAAAGCCAAAGACATAATTACCTGGATCTTGCTGATTTCCATCTCTTTCTTTACCAACTCCAGCGTAAGTTTTAATCGTTTATACACCTGTTCAACAACACAACAAATGACACCTGCAAACGTAAAAATTTGTGTTCCATATGTTCACCCCTTTATATACATCGAATTTCCTAAAAGGCCTGGCCCAAGAAATTGAAACTTATTACAACATAAAAAAATGGAAAATATCGTCTGCACCACATCGAGTCAGAATTTCTCAGTGACAGTGCCAAATGTACTCACATCTAGCTCTTCAAGAACTTGTTGGCATTGCAATTTGTTTGCCCCAGATATTGCAGCTCCAAAATCTGCAAGCCTTGGATAAGTAAAATCACCTATATGCTGCACAATTCAAAAAAAAGAAAGTCAACATAATAATATGATAAAAGTAAGCAATGAACTGTGATTCGATATTACAACATGAAACAACCATCATATAAAGTACTTCAGTACTTCCAACTGCAGCATTTTTTGTCCTATATTTTGAAGCAATAAAAAAATGCAGGAGACACACTTAATAACAATTGTTTTTTATAAACTCATTTATGCTTATGTGGGAAAAATACATGATCCATTAGTCTCTGAAAACCGACTATATTTAATTGCTTGTAGGTTTTTAAAAAGAATAATAGTTTCACTATCCTCCAATTTCGTTATACAGAAAATTGTTTCACAAACAGAAGTAAAATTACAGTATTTATCAGCAACAGGCTGACTGACCCTAATAATTGTTATATAGTAATGAAAAGACTTAGGCTTCTGGATCTTCTGAATGAACAATTAACAGAGAAATAAATAACAAAGCTAGAAAAACTAGCACTAAATTAAATAATTGGTTTTTACTCCAACTAACTAAAATGAAAACGATCTGCTCAAACTTTATATCAGACTTATATTGAAAATATTTGTCTTTCATTGAGTATACCAAATCAAAGAAAATATATTAATCAAACAACACACTTGAAGTTTCCAATGAAACAAAGCTAAGGACTCACAAGTTTAAGAAACCTCAGTCAATGCAAAGAGGACTAACAAGTCCATATCACCAATATGCTATATATTTGACTGACCTTTGTTTAAAACATGAAAATTTTGCAGAAAATATCACAGCTTTGGCTTCACAGTACTGTATAATTCTTAATGAGGGTATGAAGCTCCACTACTTCATCGAACAACAACTCGATGTGGGACACCAAAATGCAGGCATGCACAATGATTGGATTTGAATTTCAGATTAATCAACGTTCTTGCATTAACATATGTATAACAAAACAGCAGGATGAAGAGGGTTGTTATATGCTGAGAGTTGAGTAGAAGAAACCCCAATAATTCATAAATTCCCCTGGGAATTATTCTATAGGACAATTGCAAGAAACTTGTTCAAGGTACAGACTAAAACTTCATAAACATTGATTAGTTGTAATCAAGATATCTAAAGGTTCATTATCAAAATATCTAAAATGTGGATCTTGAAAGTTAGAATAGTAATGACTTGCCAACTCTTCCCCTAACATTTTCTGATCCTCAATAATTCTTTTATATTTCTTCCTTCTCTCTCTACACTCCACTGGCGGTAAAATTATCACATAGATTAACATTAACTATTTTCCATATTTCATCAGGCCATGTGACAAAAGAATGAAACAGTTTAACCTAAGGAAGAATGTTAGGGCCGTTTGCATGGTAGAAGTGATATAGAGCTAATTCATTGTTGAGTTTGTTGCAACTTGCAATTCAAAAAAGAAAGAAAAAATCCATTTAATCATGCAGTCTAATCAAAATTCACAAACTAAAAATTGAGGGAATTCCAAATCATGTAGTCTAATTAAAATTCACAAACTACAAATTAAGGGGGGAATTCCAACTTCCAAGATTTCTAGCAAACCAATGTAGACACACACAGGACAACTCCAATCCCCTCCCCCTATTTCCAAGTTCCAATAAAAACACAAAGAGAACGGTCCAAAGTCCAAACCTTAGTGTAAGTCTGAACATGATCTCTCCAAAGGGAACTTGTTTTAAGAACATCCCTCAGGGTTGATATAACCTCGAAAGATGTGGCCTTTATAATCTCATCATCTTTATTATAAGCTTGATCCTGCAGTACCATGTTGAAACCAACAAAATAAATAAAAAAATGTGGCTCGTTGAATTATGATGCAAAAGAAATCTTTCACTTTAATTGAAATCAGGAAAAAATAGATAAAGTCATACCTTGAGATGATCAACTTTTACAGTAAGTGGATCCTCACTAACCTGCAGAAAAGACAGAAGTTTTCAGTGTTAAACAATCATCAGTATACTTTAGCCACATGTACAGAAATGATTATCAGATATCAGAACCTGTGAACAAAATTCAAGCACAAATATGGAGAAATAACAAAAAAATATAATCAAACACTAATCTTTCTTAATTTCAATATGTTCAATACTAACCATCTCTATTATGCGTAAACGCCGATGACCAATCAGGAACACCTGATCCCCATGGATACTTGAAATCTAGTAATGAATAATGTATTATCAGAAAAAATGTGAGGTACTTACTAAAGCTATACAAGTGATCTGTTGAAGGCATAAAGCAACTAATAAACTGTGCATACAGAATCACATACTTGAGCAAGAGTCCCAACTTCGTGAAGACGGTTAAACAACTCTTTTCCTTTTAAATCATATACATTTTTTTCTGTGTCAGAGCTAGATACTACACTAGGATCAGTCTCTGGCTCATCCTTAAGGAGGAAAGCACCAGCATACGGGGCTTGTCGTTCTCGACTTTCCTGTAAAGCTGCCAACAATTTGGGATCCTGGATGCATAGTATAATACTCATTAGACAACCATACTTTCAAGTTTCAAGTTAAATTTAACCAATTTATTGACACATACATGCACTGGTCAGAAATTACAATTCTCATATGATTCAGCCAGAAGCATGTAAGGAGCAAAGACAGAGATTAAACTCATCATTCTTGACAACCCACCATACCTTAACATAGATTGGCATGTAAAACCCTGGGAAAAGTGGTCTATGTGGCAATGGTAATGCCAAAACCTGTTCCAAAGGAAGGAGGAAAAACAAAAATTCATAATATTTATGATATTAGCGATCAAGTAAAACTAAAAATGAAGGAATATAGAAAAGAGATACCATCCATATGCTCCGATTATTTTGTTTTACAAAACATATAAAAAATAAATAAATAACACTGGAAAAACTGTATGATATAGTCCTCACTTTATTTTCAGGGTAGGGTGTAGGAACAGCATAATGCATTCCAAAGATACCAAGAATTACTCAAATAGCCTAGACATGAAGTAGGACACCAAGGAAAGAAAAACCTCCACGCAGTCTACACACAAACATTAAATCCTTTTGAAACCTTCTCAGGTTAACCAATAAAATTTTGAAGGAAAATAACCCTCGAACTCAAGAACGACCCACATTTCCAACAAACTCATATCAAAGCAATGGGGAGCATAGAACCACAATGATATTGAGTTATTGACATCTTATCTAAAAGGGGGGGGGGGGGACAGAATTTCGCTCAGCAAATAAAATCCCCATCGTCAGTTACTGTTTCTGTTATAATTAGTTTGATCAGTTACACCTAAAGTACCTAGCAAAGTGCCTGTTATTTACTGTGACAATCAAAGCACAGTTGCCTTGGCTCACAACCCAGTTCTGCATTCAAGAACAAAGCACATGGAATTAGAACTGTTCTTTGTTCATGAGAAAGTTTTGGCCAAGTCTCTAGTTGTACTTCATATAACTGCTCCCCTCCTCATTGTTGATCCCTTCACAAAACCTCTCTCAGCCCCAAGATTTGCATAATTAAGGGACAAACTTAAGGTTTTGGATCATACACTACTGATCCAACCCCCTTAAGTTTGAGGGGGGGAGTATTATTGTATGAGTTGTATTTGTACTGAGCAGTAGCTCAATTGTAATTGCTGTTAAATACAGATAGTCGTTTACTGTTTCTGTTGTAATTAATTTGATCAGTTACACCTAATGTAACTGAATAGGTTCAATTAGAGCTGCTAGCTCAAGTGTATAAATTCCCATCATGTATTCTAAATCATGATTGAATAAAAAATTCCCAAAGTTCAGAATCTCAGTTTTCTCTCGTTTTCTTTCTCTCTTTCCCAAACTTTCTCTTCTTCGTTTACAGACAATGATGAACTAGCAGTTTTGGCTACACTTCACTGATCAAAACACCAAAAAAAGAGTAAACTACATCTCCACCCATATCCACATTTTAACTTGCATCATAAATTACAATTTAAGCGCCCTATTCTAATTTAAACCCAAAATTTCCGAAGTAAAAATGATATTAAATAAAATAGAAGAAGAAGAAAACTATCGAATCGTTTGAGACTAAATAAAACAATTCAGCAACCAAAAAACAGTAAAATCCGAAACTAACAGTGAGATAATCTTCGGGTCTGGGATACGTGGACACGATGGCAGATGCCTTTGACTGGGACTCCTCAGCCGCTTTGACTTCGGCGTCAACCACGTGATCGGAACCGTCGCCGGAATCTGAACAGAAAAACAACCTGCGTCCCAAATTACTGTTCCCCGAGCTTAACCCGCCGAGGGAACCCAGCACTCTAAGAAGCGGCGAGGTGGAATCGGCTGCGAGTCGGAGCACCGGACCCACCGTGGGGTGTCGCCGATGGATGCGCGAGGATGAAATGAGCTTCAACATTGGTTTCAGAAATGGGGTGAATGAGGGAATGGGATTTTGAAAATTGGAGATAGGTTCATGCCCTAGGCATGTTAGATTTAGATAATAGAATGGGGTTTTAAAACCGCCATTGATGTTGATGAAAATGAAGCGGAGGGGGCTGTGTTCTTGTCCCCAGATTTGTTAAAGCCCTTCATAAACCCTCGTCTAACGTGTTTCCCACACTATCCTTCTGTTGCTGCGAAAGTACGGTTTTGTCCTCGGTGTTTAAAACTTGCCTTTTCAGTGGACCTAATTAATTTATTTAAGGTTTTAACGTTTCTAAAGTGAATGTAGATAAGTTATCTACATTTGTTCTCAAAACGATGTCGTTTTGGGTTAAAAAATTAAAAAGTTATAATGAAAAAGACTATTATAACTCTGAAATAAATTATAATTACAAAAATACCTTGATTTCTGTCTCAAAATGATGTCGTTTTGGACTCACTGTAGATAAGTTATCTACATTGACGGTAGAAAAAACGAACTCTTTTATTTAAAATGATTATATAATTTTAATAAAGAGTTATGTTTATCTTATTTTACATGAGATAAACAATTTTTCTACACACAGAAAAAGAGGTTGAGTCTCACCACTCTTTTTTCTCCCTCCTCTTATCTGTGGGTTCCACTTATAATTTTATTTCTACAACATGAGGTAACTTTTTTCCTACAACATAAGAAAAGTATTTCTCTTTAATAAAACTCCGAAATATGTACTAAAAGTTTAAAATTGTGAGTTTAAATTCTACCGTACATTTTGCCTTATTTGCTATCTCTGTTTTCCTGCAAAGAATCATTCTTTAAATTAAAAAATAATGATAATTTTGTTACAAATGAGCATTACTACACTTTATGAGATTGTTACCAATGTAGTGTAACATCTAGAGTAGATGAAGAGCTTGTACCCTTCCTCCACCTTCGTATGTATAGAGATGGTAGGACTTGTATTCTTACATTGTTGAATAATAGAATTTTTAGTTTTTTTTCCCTTACTTTCTTTCTTTTATATTTTCTTCTTCTTGTACTTTATTTTCTTAAGTTGATTCCACTTATTCACTCTTCTTTTTCGCAACACGTTATCAGCACGAATTTGGTTAGAATTTTGAAAGTTGCTCAAGGTGGAAATTTTTATTTTGAAGTATTTCATTACTTTTAGTTGTTAATACCAACATACACTAAAATAAAATAGAAGCTATCATGTTGAGATCAAACAATCCGGACGTATGTGGTAAAACTGATTGAAAGATTACCTCGTGAAGCAAAGGTATCTGAACAATGAGATCTGCCCTTGTGTTCATTAAGAAATCTCTTAATGGCTTTGCGATTATATCGGTGTATGTAGATGACCTGAATATAGCCGGAACTCAAAACGAGGTTGAAGAAGTTTAAAGAGGGAATTTGAAATGAAATACTTACATCAAATCAATTATTGTCTTGGCCTACAAATCGAGCATCTCCCAAAAAAAATTTCCTACGTCGGTCTAACTATGTAAAAATAATTTTGGATAAATTTTATATGGACAAGTGTCATCCTCTAAATACCCCAATGATAGTTCGTAGGCTGTATATGTTTTCCTTTGCGGAGGTACTGCAATCTCATGGAAGTCTGTAAAACAAAGTCTAGGTGTTACTTCCTCAAATCACTCTGAGATTATTGCATTGAATGAAACTACTTGAGAATGTGTTAGGTTAAGATCTTTGAAAGAACACATTAATGTTTCATGTGGTCTACCCATAATTTGTAATTCCCCTACTATCCTTTTTTAGGATAATTCTGGTTAATGGGTCATTCCACTTAGATACATTCATATTGATATGCTCCCCCTCAACCGAATACACAGGCCCAAGTACTCAACCCGCCTTTTAGCCAAACACCTGGCTAGCCGAGCCCAACCCAACTCGGATACCACTGTCAGGCGGGTCTAGGGGAAGCTCGTGGTGGAGGATCACCACCAAGGGGCTAAGCTTATACCACCATATTAAGTGGATCCGACACTATGTCTTAACCCAAAATCTTAAGGCATTGGGTTAATGGGTCATTCGACTTATATACACTTCATTCAACCCATTATCAACCAATGTAAGATTATCACACTTGAAAACTTAAACAATAGCATTGCACAAATGAATGATGGATATATTAAAAATGTTAAGACTAAACATATTTTCCCAAAGTTCTTTTACCCACATAAACTCCGAAAGAAGGGTGAAATAAATATTCACTAAATCCCTACCTATTTCCACATTTGAGAAACTTGTATATGGAATAGGTATGTGTAAACTTAATAAGTTACTTTTATCAAGGGGAGCAAATTAATTATTATCATCCCTGAAGGATGGGACCTTGAAGGTATAAATATGTACTACTATTTTTTCCACATGATTTTTCTTAGCTAAAGGTTTTTAATAAGGTAGATTATGCAATACTTGATAGCATATGTCTTGTACTATTTTTCCTGATTTTTTCTAGCAAGGTTTAAACGAGGCATAGACTTAGTGCCATAATGTCCAAGGGGAAGTGTTATAATTGGAAATTACTACATTTTATGGGATCGTTACAAATGGGCATTATTATATTTTATGGGAGATTAAATGTATTGTAACATCTATTATAGATGAAGAGCTTGCACCCTTCCTCCACCTTCATCTATATATAGAGGTAGTAGGACTTGTATTCTTACATTACTGAATAATAGAATTTCTGGTTTATTCTCCCTTACTTTTTTTGTCTCATATTCTCTTCTTCTTGTACTTTATTTTCTTGAGTTGATTCCACTTTTCATTACTCTGTTTTGCAACAAATTTAATTTAATTTAACTATTCATGTTGAATCAAATAATTACTTTGAATTTTTATAATTTGGGGAGATCATAAATAATAAGAAAAAAACTAAGAAATGTCAAAAACTACGCGCAACATTGAAGTCTCTAAGAAAATCAACAAAAACAAATATAAGTTTAATTTTACAGAGTTATTCTGACATAAAATTATAAGTTCAAACTCTGAATATGTAATTATGTTAAAATGTAATAAAAAGAGCTTTGATCTCGATCTCAAATCAAATTAATAAAATAATAATAAATTGATGGAGAGAAAAAAACTTAATTTTATAGGATGAAAATATATTTCAAAATCGTGCACAACCTACGAATGTGAATGATACCAACCATCCATTACTTAGTTCTCCATTAATCTTTAAAATAAAATAATTACAAATGTATACGACAACAAAATAATAATTATAAATCTATAAGATATTTATTCCGTCCATTAAACAATGAATTATTGGTCAGAGACTAATTTAATTAATAATAACACGTATTTCAATAGATTATATAATAAGTTTTTCAAAAATAATATTATCAACACTATGTCTTTTATAAACTGAAAGCTATAACAATTCCTACTAAATCTATTGTGATCTAACAGAAATAGTTACTCAGTTACTTTTACATTTAGTTGTAACTATATTGTATAAATAAGGGTCGAGCCCATTTACATAGCGTAATTTAATTCATTTTTCACTTTAACAAATATACAAGTCATTCTGACTCAGTTCCTTCTCTCTCTCCTTTTCTTGTTCGTTATCTTCTTTTCATTCTTTATCTGATACCTCTCATGGTATAGAGCTGAAACTGATACATGGAGACCACCAATTGCTTGCAGCAAAACAACTATGTTCATACTTTCTCTAATCCAGTCTCTTTCAAATTGGACGAAAACAATTTCCTGCCTTGGAAACAGCAAGCATTAGCTACAATCAAAGGCTATAATTTGACAAGATTCATTGATAAAGAATTGCAAGAATCAGTACCTGTTCAACAACAAAGTGCTAATAATGAAGCAGCTGAGAATACTGCTGGTAATGAAGTTCAAAACTCAAATTCTCGAGATCTTGATACACAACAAAGATCAACTTCTTATGTCATGGTTGCCCTCTTCCATGTCAGAAACAGTGTATACTCGCATGGTAGGTTGTGCAACTTCATTCAAAGTTTGGCACAAACTTGAAGAATTCTTTTCTTCTCAAACCAGAGCAAAGATCAAGCAACTGAAAATTCAGTTGAAAAATACAAAGAAAGAATGAGATGTTTCAAAGTATTTGCTCCAGATCAAAAAGATTGTTGACTCTCTTGCTGCCATTGGTTCACCAATTGATACAGAAGATCACATTGATGCCATTTTAGATGGCTTAAATGAGGACTATGACTGCTTTATAACTTCTGTAATTTCTAAAACTGATCCTTACACTGTAGGCAAAATTGAAGCACTGCTCATGGCTCAAGAACAAAGACTGGAAAAGCATAAGAAGAATCTCACAGATACTCTACAAGCAAATGTAGCACAACTATAGTTCAGAAGGCAAAATAACTACTCAGGAAGTTTCAGAGGAGGATTCAATCAAAATAATAGAGGAGGAATTAATCAAAATAGAGGGAGAAACTTTGGAAATAGAGGAGGATTCAGATATCAAAGGGAGGAAACAAAAACAACAATGCAAACAGACCACAATGTCAGGTGTGTGGAAAGTACGATCATCTTGGATGGGAATGTCGTAACAGATTTAATCAGAATTTTCAGAGTCCTTTCAGTCAAAATAATAATGCTAGTTCCAGTCTTCAAGCCAATATAGCAGTTGCAAACAATGCTGGTGCTCATCATCAAGTAGATGATATCCCCTCTGATTACTTCTCATTTACTGATTTTGCTGGTATCTTGACTCAGGAGCAATAAATCATTTCACACCAGATGCAAATAACCTACTAAACAAAACAAAATACAATGGTCAAAATGCTGTTCAAGTAGGTAATGGCTCTAACTTGAAAATCAAGAATGTAGGACATTCAATTTTACATTCAACTATCAGTCCTTTATCTTTTACCACATCAAATTTAATGCATGTTCCTGGTCTATCCAAAAACCTATTGAGTGTATCTCAGTTTACCAAAGAGCAAAATGTCATTTTTGAATTTCATGCTAACACTTGCTATGTTAAATCTCAGGCTACCAAGGAGATACTTCTCCAAGGCAAGCTTAAAAATGGTCTATATGCATTTGATGGACTACAAAAGATCGAAAAA